TATACACATTATTTATAAACATTATTTATAAACACTATTTATACACATTATTTATACACATTATTTATACACAATATTTATGCACATTATTTATACACATTATTTATATACATTATTTATAAACATTATTTATAAACACTATTTATACACATTATTTATACACATTATTTAAACACAATATTTATACACATTATTTATACACATTATTTATACACAATATTTATACACAATATTTATACACATTATTTATAAACACTATTTATACACATTATTTATAAACAATATTTATACACTTTATTTATACACATTATTTATAAAAATTATTTATAAACATTATTAAACACAATATTTATACACAATATTTATACACATTATTTATAAATACTATTTATACACATTATTTATACACATTATTTATACACATTATTTATAAACATTATTATAAACATTATTTATAAACATTATTTATACACAATATTTATACACCTTATTTATAAACATTATTTATAAACACTATTTATACACAATATTTATGCACATTATTTATAAACATTATTTATAAACATTATTTATAAACACTATTTATACACAATATTTATGCACATTATTTATAAACATTATTTATACACATTATTTATAAACGCTATTTATAAGCATTATTTATACACAGTATTTATACACATTATTTATACACATTATTTATAAACATTATTTATAAACACTATTCATACACATTATTTATACACATTATTTATACACATTATTTATGAACATTATTTATACACAATATTTATAAACACTATTTACAAACACTATTTGTACACATTTTTTATAAGTATTATTTATAAACATTATTTATAAGCATTAGTTATACACATTATTTATGAGAACTATTTATAAACACTATTTATACACATTATTTATAAGCATTAGTTATACACATTATTTATAAACACTATTTATAAACACTATTCATACACATTATTTATACACATTTTTTATAAGCATTATTTATACACAGTATTTATACACATTATTTATACAATTATTTATAAACATTATTTATAAACACTATTTATACATATTATTTATACATATTATTTATACACATTATTTATGAACATTATTTATAAACACTATTTATACACATTATTTATACACATTTTTATGAACATTATTTATAAACATTGTTTATAAACATGATTTATACACATTATTTGTACAGCTTATTTATAAACATTATTTATAACTTTATAAACATTATTTATAAACATTATTTATAAACATTATTTATAAACATTATTTATACACATTATTTATACACATTTTTATAAACATTATTTATAAACATTATTTATAAACATTATTTATACACATTATTTATACACATTTTTATAAACATTATTTATAAACATTATTTATAAACATTATTTATAAACATGATTTATACACATTATTTATACACATTATTTATACACATTATTTATAAACATTATTTATAAACATTATTTATAAACATTATTTATACACATTATTTATAAACATTATTTATACACATTATTTATAAACATTATTTATAAACTTATTTATACACATTATTTATAAACATTATTATAAACATTATTTATAAACATTATTTATACACATTATTTATACACATTTTTTATAAACACTATTTATACACATTTTTATAAACATTATTTATAAACATTATTTATACACATAGGGCAGCACGGTGGCGCAACTGGTAGAGCTGCTGCCTCTCAGCGAGAAGGTCCCTGGTTCAAACCCCGGTCCAGGGGCCTTTCTGGGTGGAGTTTGCATGTTCTCTCCGTGCATGCGTGGGTTTTCTCCGGGTACTCCGGTTTCCTCCCACAGACCAAAAACATGCATGTTAGACTGATTGGTAACTCTAAATTGTCCCTAGGTGTGAGTGAGAGAGTGAATGGTTGTTTGTCTCGTTTGTCTCTATGTGTCCCTGTGATGGACTGGAGACCTGTCCAGGGTGTCCCCCGCCCCTCGCACAGTGACTGCTGGACATGGACACCAGCGACCCCCGTGACCCAAAATGGAATAAACGGGTAAAGATAATGGATGGATGGATGGATGGATTTATACACATTATTTATACACATTATTTATACACATTTTTTATAAACATTATTTATAAACATTATTTATAAACATGATTTATACACATTATTTATACACATTTTTATAAACATTATTTATAAACATTATTTATAAACATTATTTATAAACATTATTTATACACATTATTTATACACGTTATTTATACACATTATTTATACACATTATTTATGAACATTATTTATACACATTATTTATAAACATTATTTATAAACATCCTGATGCTGCTCAATAATCCAGGTAGAAAAATCCAAAAAAGTTAAGTCTGGTCCTCTGGACATTCAAAAAAACAAAAAACAAAACAAAGCAAAAAAATGTAGAAACGTTTCGTCTCTCATCCTGAGGACTTCCTCAG